ATTTCTCTCCCCACCCAGGCAATGGGAGAAAAGTATCAGTGCCCCAAAGTTGGTATTTTGCAGATCTTATACATGGTACTTATGATGCAGTAGAATCGCAGCTTGGAGAGGGGGTGATGGCTCTCTGTCCATTAGGCTGCAGTGCAGCCTTGCACCTGCTGCCACAGTCCTGCACAGTTGCTGCTGCTCTTTGCCTGATGGACAAGCGATGAGCCATTGGGAGTCAATGCCCAGAGATTTGGAATCTAGAATTGACTTCAGGTTGGCTCTGATGCCTATGCAAAAGACCCTTTCAGGCAAAATTGTGACAAAGTGCCATTATTTTCACAGCTTTTGGAAGAGCACTGAGTTTGGGGATCACAACCTGAGTTTCTGAGCTCTTCAGGATCCAAGTAAGGCAAACACTACGTGTCTTTTCACTGTACCACCTTCAGCTGTAGCTCTTAAGAATAAGGTTGGTAAGAAAAAGTGGAAAGTCTGCTTTAAAAAATATGAGGTATGTTCAAACTAATAGAGATATAAAGTTGGAAAGGAGACTACGAAGGAAAAAAAAAAAGAAATAAAAGAGGAGGAGGGGAGGTAAGAGGAGGCCAGTATATCTGAAAACTCAAAAAATGGAAAAGGAGATGGGCAGAACCCTGATTGGACCTGAGATTTCCCCTTATTTTCATAAACATGAAAACACTTAACCTTCTGGAGGTGTAATAGTTGAATAAACTGTAATTAATGGCAGCTTCCCACTACCTGGGGAGAGAAGTCTCCATACTCAGAAATTGTATCAACTTCCAGCACACAACAGACCTCCAGTTGCCCTAGATAGGTGACATGCCAGCAGCTGACTAATGTCTCTCATTGTGGTCAGTGACCACAGGTTCTGAGGAGCATTGACAGCCCTAAGGCTGGCTAGATCAGTGGCAAAACTAGATATGAAGACAGGTGTGACTGAGCTCTGCTAGACCGTTATAGCTCAGTTGGTAGAGTGCTTGCCTTGCATGCACAAAGACCTGGGTTCAATACCTAGCACCACACATACACACAATAAAACAAAAAACCCCAAAATATTTATTTATTTTTAATTGGAGCATGATAGTTACATATAAAATTGGAATACATTGTGCGCTATGAAATTACATGCACATAGCATAATTTGATGAACTTCACTCTATAACTTAGTTCTTATTATTTATACTTAAACTGTTTGGGAGTGCAAAATATACTTTTCCCCTTAATATGATATATCATCATATATAAATGATTCTGCTATCTTTTAATTGTCTATTTAGTAACAATAAGAGCTATTACTTTTAACTGTGCATTTATATAAGACATCTTCATAATTTGGGATTAGGTATTTGACATGTCACAAATTCTCTTACCTAGCTTGTCATTTAAAAAATGAATTGTGATGTTTATTTTGCTATATGAAAATCTTTAATTTTTAGCTATCAAATCTATTGCTCCTTTCCCTTGGTTTCCGAGGTAGTTAACAGGCTAAGACGCCTTCTGGAAATAAAGTTTAACTTGTATGTTGCCGATTATGTCCTCTCCTAACACCTTCCATTCTTTGCCACATGTTTCTTAGTTATGTCCCTCAATTGCTAAATAGATGTGGGGGTAATGTAGAAGAACACCACACTCAAAAATAGAATAATATAAATAAATAAATAAATAGTAAATAAAGTAAATAAGTAAATAAAATAAATAAAAAATAATAAATAAGTAAAAAGCAGTACATAGGGAAATATGTAGTAACTCATAATTGGAGGGGGAAATACACATCTCCATCTGGAATAGACATGGGGCTAAGTTTGTTAGGAGGAGATCCAACTTTGTTTTTCCAGATGGCTACCCCCACTTTTTCTGAACCTTTTGCTGGACAATCTTTCTTTTCCACACTGCTATGAAGTTACAGGTATATTTTTAAAATAAGGATTTTATGGAAGGTATTTTTCAAACTAGCCCCCATCTACATCTTGCCTCCACCATGAGTCTTCACTATAGCTTTTAAAACTCCTCATCTTTCTCTCTCTCTCTCTCTCTCTCTGGTTTGGTACTGAGAATTGAACACAAGGGTGTTATATCCCCACAATTTTTTTTCCCCCTCATTTCAAAATTTTGAGACAGGGTTTTATTCCATTGCTAAGGCTGGCCGTGAACTTGGAAACCACCTGCCTCGGCCTTCTGTCTCTGGGATTTCAGACATGTGCAACTGCCTTGGCTAAAGTTCCTCTTTTCTACCTGTTCAAACACCAGCCACATCTGGGTGACAGCTGTCACCGTGGACCTCTTGGGATACCACTACCACAGCCTTCTAATGAGGAGACGGGCCAGAGAAGCTACTTCTGCTGTTGATCTCAGAATTCACACTTGACAATGCAGCATCATCATGGGGTTGGTGTGATATACTTTGGGAATATTCGCCCACTCATCCAGTCAATGTGTTTAGAGAGATGAAAAAGAAGACTATATTCCTAAGGAGTACAGTCTAGTGAGTGTAACCATCACTCCATGATGACAGCTGTTCTATTTCATTCTTTTTTTTTTTTTTTTTTTTTTTGTACCAGGGATTGAACTCAGGAGTGCTTGACCACTGAGCCACTTCCCCAGCCCTATTTTGTATTTTATTTAAAGACAAGGTCCCACTGAGTTGCTTAGTGCCTTGCTTTGCCGAGGCTGGCTTTGAACTCGTGATCCTCCTGCCTCAGCCTCCTGAGCCACCGGGATTACAGGTGTGCCTTACTGCACCTGGCTGTCCTATTTCCTTCTGACAGCACTTGAGCCCTATACATTTCCTTGAGAAAACTGGAAATTTTCATTTACTTGCAAGTCAACACAGGAAATGAAGTATAGCATATTGACCAAGAGATAGGAAACCCATTTTCTAGTCCTGATATGACCTATGTATCAGGAGACCAACTTAAATTTACTTGAACCTCAATTTCCTGCATCATCTGTGGAAAGTAGTTAGACTATGTGATCTCTCGGCTTCCAGTAGGTAGAAATTTGTTATTCTGTAATAATATGATTTCTTTATTTATTAATGTAAAACTTTTTAACAGATAAGTTAAGTCCTTGCTATATGCAAAGAATTCTTCTGGACACAGATGAATAAGACACAGTCATTATGTTATGAAGCTTATTAAGAAAGGAGTTTATTTGGAAGAGGGAAGTGGAATGGAACAGATCAGTGTGACTTGAATGTAGAATATACCAGTATCCCTATTCCAAATTGGAATACAGTCTCTGTGATGTACCATAACTCCATGCTAAGGCTTATTTTAATGATTCTGGTTGATGTCAAGGCCTCCTTGAGGGTTTGTGTAGTGATAACACACTGAATGGAGGTGGTAGTTCATAAATCTTTTTTTCTAGTTGTGGCAATTAGACTCATTGTAGTTTTTGTCTGGTTTTTTTTTTTTTTTTTTTTTTTTTTTTTGGTAAGATCCTTTCTTAAGACCAACTCCTAACAGTATTTTGAAGCTGTGCCTAGAAGCAATAGAGGTTTCATGATGCCACCTTTCTTTCTGTTTTAAAGAATACAACTCTTTCCAATGACATTTTCTTTTTCTTAATTTAGATTCTCCATCCCAATAACTCACCAATTCTGTACAAGGCATGTGTTTAAAATATTTTAAATTAATGGCTTTAGAAAGGTGAGTTTGGGCTAGGATGAAGGAAGACAAAGAAGCACTTGGGGGATAGAGAATTTCTTTTTTTTTTTTTTCCAAGTTCAAGATGAAAAGTTATCCAACATCCTGTTGGAGATCAGTGGGAAAGAAGAATCAGTTGGAACCTTGAAAGTCGGGGGAAAAAAAAAAAGGATAACTTGAGTAATGGAGACCCTCGAGTACATGTCAATTGAAAAAAATGAGGCCCAGGGGAGAGTAAGAGTGTCTTCACAACAAACCAACAGATCGCCCACTTGTTATTCAATCCCTGCTTTTCCATGCTGAAAAGTGATAGTATGGAACGGAAACACGATATAATGAACTTAGTGGGAGTGTCAAAGTGGTCAGACTCTGAAGAAGGGCATTATGGATCTCATGTTCTATTTTCTAGCACCCAGCAAGTAGAGGTGGTAAGAACTGACTCATGAGCACATGTCAGGGTGAATTAACAACATTGTCATAGTCACAGTGGATAGTGCACACAATCTCCATGCTAGAAATTTATTTTTCATAGGAAAAATGTCTGCTCATTTAATATCTTTTCAGTAAGAATGGACAGCGAATAAGGAGTTTGAGAAGGCCTAGCTGGACATTTTCAAAAGGCAAAAATAAGTAAGCAAAATTATATTTATACTAAGGTGTAATTCTCTCCAGCTACTTTATAATGTGATAGCCTCCTGAGTCAACTTCCAGTAAGAATGTCATTTTAAATGTTTCCATGATAGCAGATGGGTAAGTACTGTGGTCTGCAGGGCAGAGCAATAAATATAACTTTGATAGCCAATCCATTGTCTATCTAAAGGCAGGGACTATTTCACTGGAATAGTTCTCATGTTTAGGGGTTGAATAAAATCAAAAGAAAGTACACAGTCCCTGTGAAAGGAATAGAATGTTTAGCCTGTGGTCAAGCAGAGAAAAAGACTTACTGAGTAAAGCAATATATATTCCAATTTTCTTGTTTTCGTTTTCAGTTAGTTTCCATTAGTGCAATTTTCCAAAAAGATGTGGGCCATGTTTTCAATTCAGATATTACTACAGATCACTATAATTCAAATTTCTTTGCTGGTTTTCACCAAATAATCCCAACTTCCAGCCTACAACCAATATTTTAAATGGTTTCCTGGTGCTATTTACATACAATAACCAACTCTCAAAAGGATAACACCGTTAGGAACAAATACTGTCAGAATGCAGTGGGTGGCTTTTTCGTAGAGAGAGATTTCAATAAAACTTTGGGGTCGATGATGAACCTAGTGTACAGGAATTCCACATTAAGTCATAATTGGCTTTGTGCTGAGAGAGTCCATGTCAATTGAAGAAATGAGGCCCAGAGGAGAGTAAGAGTGTCTTAACAACAAAGCAACCGATCGCCCACTTGTTATTCAAAACAATAGAACCACAAGAAGGGCTTCTCTAATCCCAGAACAGAAGCGTAAATTTGCCAGGATGTCCATCCTTGACAAAATGTCTACGGCAGATTTGATGGAGAATCTCAGGGAAGAACTCACCTGCTTCATCTGCTTGGACTATTTCAGCAGCCCAGTGACCACTGAGTGTGGACATAGCTTTTGCCTGAGGTGTCTCCTTAAGAGCTGGGAGGAACAAAACACACTTTTATCTTGTCCTGAGTGTTGGAGGACTTTGGGGGGCCCTCATTTCCAGCCCAATGAGCGACTGGGGAGACTGGCTAGCATCGGCAGGCAGCTCAGATCCCAGGTGCTGCAGAATGAGGAGGAACCAGGCACCTGTGGGAGACTATCCTCCACTAGAGTGTTCTCTGATGATGAGCAGAGTGTAAATGTTTTTGCAAGCCAGAGTCATGGAATAAACAGAGTGTATCTCTCGAGTGAGGCTGAGGAGCAACACAGAGTAAGATTGGCTGCTCAATATTAATCTAGGACCAATCAGGCTCCCAGGCACCTTCTTGTTATTTGTTTTCACGTCTCTTCCCAACTTGGTGCTCTGCTCATTAGCCACTGAGTTTGTCTTTATTGCAGGAGAAACTCCAGGAGATCCTAAGTCTTCTGCGTAAAAAGAGGAAGGAATCTCAGGCTATACTGACCCACGAGAGGGAGAGAGTGATATTGTGTAAGGTCAGTATTTGTCTTATTTTTATGCTTGTGTATGATCCTTTGAGGAAGGCTATAGAGATACATGGTGAAATGTCAGAGAGCCATAAGGCAATTGTTTCTGGTCCTGGTCCCACAATATGAGTTTCTTACTTAAGGCTGCCCACCTCTGCTTGTCCACCTGGCAATCTCACTACCCAGCTCAAGTTCAACCTCCCTCAGGCAGACTTTTTTTTTTTTTTTAAATCTTCTTTGTGCATCTAGACAAATTTGGTTACCTCTATTATGGCTCTGATTATAATTATCAAAAAATGCACACGTTATACTTACAGTCATATAATATAGGATGGAAATAAATTTTAAAAGAAATGTCTCAAATGTTTTTAGGAAAAAAAAAAAGAGAGAAAGAGAGAGAATGCAAATTAAAAGTAATTGAAGAGAGGCCAGGCACAGTGGTGCTCCCCTATAATCCCTGCGGCTGGGGAGGCTTGTGAGTTCAAAGACAGGAGGATTGTGAGTTCAAAGGCAGTCTCAGCAACAGCAAGGTGCTGAGCAACTCGGTGAGACCCTGTCTCTAAATCAATTACAAAATAGCTCTGGGGATGTGGCTCAGTGGTTGAGTGCCCTGAGTTCAATCCCCAGTACCAAAAAAAAAAAAAAAAAAAATACATGAAGATAAAGGAATGTAAATGTAGAATAGTAGCTTGAATTAAACCTGAATATATACCTAAGCTTAGTCACTTATTCAGATTTGAGTTGCCTATCAGTTAAAGCAAAGAACTATATACTTAATTAGATTTTTTAAAAATATATGGGTGTGTAAGCCTCCTAATAGAGTTTGAGTTCTCTTTTTTTAGGGGGTGAGTACCGGGATTGAACTCAGGGGCATTCAGCCCCTAAGACACATCCCCAGTCTTATTTGGTATTTTATTTAGAGAGTTGCTTAGTGCCTCACTTTTGCTGAGGCTGGCTTTGAACTTGTAGTCCTCCTGCTTCAGCCTCCTGAGCCGCTGGGATTACAGGCATGTGCCGTTGCTTATGCAGACTTTGAGTTCTGAAGTACAAATATTTGTGATGTACATTTCTATGTCTAGTACGTGACCAAATGCCTAGTTTCATTGAATAAGTATCTGTCGAATAAATGAATACTTGCATTTTTCACAAGTTTCTCTTTTGTTAATTTTGCTTTATTTTTTTAAGAAATCATAGTACTGATTATCACCTCTTATGTTTTTATTTGTTTGTTTGCTTGTTTATCTTTGGTTTCCTCTGGTAGAATGATAGCTCCTGGGGACAGAAGTTTTGCTTTTGATTTTATTGTGTGTGTTGCATATACATCTTTGAAAACATTAAACTTTCCACGGAGCTAGTCAACAGAAGATGTATGTTATGTACAAGGTTTCAAGAATTGTTACTATAGGATTCTGTAAGGATTAAAAATCTGTGGACATCTAGGAGTGTTTCCGTTACTAATTTTCTTATATTGTCTGTGTGTGTGCCTGTGCACCTGTGTGATGCCAGGAAGAGACAAAAACTTGTAAACAGGTGGTTGTGTCAGAATATATGAAAATGCACCAGTTCCTGAAGGAGGAGGAACAGCTCCAGCTGCAGCTACTAGAAAAGGAGGAAAGAGAGAACATGAAGAAACTGAGGGACAACGAGATCCAGCTCACCCAGCAAATCAGAAGCTTAAGCAAAATGATTGGACAGATAGAGTCTACATGTCAGAACTCCGCTTTTGAATCTTTTGAGGTGAGAATGAAATTCAGGAGAGTGTTAGAAGAATTAGTGTTGGGTCTGGAGCTCAGTGGTAGGGCATTAGCCCAGCATGCATGAGGCCCTGGGTTTAAGCCCTAGAACTGAAAAAAAAAAAATAGTCATAGAAATATTTTTCTCTATCTACCTAAAAACTAAGTTCTGCCTTAAAAGTCATTTCCCCCAAAGAACTGATATTCTATATGTCAGTAAAAGTATTGAAAAGAAGGAAAAAGGAAAAAAAAAATAGACCGACCCAAACAAACTCTTCTGTGTCTGCCTCCTTGCAATCTCAGCTTTGTCAAATACTTTGTTAAGTTTATTAATGAGGATTTACTATGTCCTGAGCACACTAAATATAATCTTCTCCAAGACCTGGCAAAGATAAATAGTATTATGATATAGACTATAGGTGATTGTCATCTACAAAATGGGTGCCTAAAATAGCACTTATTTAATAAGATAATTTGCATTTAAAACAGCTAATAGGTGGCAAGACCCAGGTATTCTGTGTGCTCAAACCATTTTCCTCTCCATCGTTGCTCTTCTGCCTTCCTAGGCATTCTCCAGAACCTTCTCCAATGTAAGCCAGGTGAGCCAACACCAGCTTCAGGTCTGTTTCTTGGACTGGTCCACAGGATGCTACTATTTAATTTTGTGCCCTCAAAAAACAACAACAAAAAAAGCACTTCGACTTCACATAGATTATCTCAGCTCTCATTGGGCCATTTCCCTTTTTTTAAAATTTTTTATTTTTTCTCATCTCTGCCTCCCTGAGGCATCAGATAATGAGACTACTATTTGACTCCTTTGTTGACAACAGGTACTTTGACAAAGTGATGTTATGAGTAAAAGAACAAAATATGTAATCTCACTATGTTGCAAGTCATTTGTCTTCAGAAAACAAAACAAAACGAAATATTTTTAATCACTGTGACAAACATCTCATTTTCACCAAAAACTACCCCTAGAAGAAGCTGGTGTTTTGTTTTTTCCCTGTCCTACGTGCTTCTTCTCAGAGTGCGCTGGGACCATGGGAAGTGGTTTCTGTGACCTTTTGCAAAGGACTGTTTCTAAAGTGAACTCATCTTTCCTGGTGGTCAAAATGAACCCATGCTAACCTTTGTTCCTTTTATACCCTTAGGAAATAAGAGGAGCCCTGGAAAGGTAGGTTTCGGTCACACGTTCAGTTCCATCTTGGACGGGGCTATGACACTGATGGAATGGATCGGGGGATGACATAAGTCATCTATGCTGTGGGGGCTAGATGAGATGGACTCTCAAGAGGGACCAGGTCCTGTGTCAAGGAGAGAGAGAGTGAAGGTCTCTGCTCTCTTATAGGAGCGAGTCACTCCTGCTTCAGTGTCCAGAGGCCACTGCCACAGAACTGAGTCTGTGCCACATCACTGGAATGAGGGAGATGCTAAGAAAATTCAGCAGTAAGTCAGCCTGATTTGCCAAACCTCCAGGGACTTCCACCTTTAACTCCAGTCTATGTTAAGGGATGCAGAACCCATCTCTTGGGCAGCTTTGTCCAATATAAAATATTCACCAACCAATGTTAGATTCTAAGTGCAGTTATCCTGACCCTGTACTAAACACCAGGCTGAGGCCACAGACCATGTCAGTGCTTGACCCGAGAGAAGAAGTGAGACTTGATTCTATTTGGCTTTGTGTTCTATCTAAGGACTCCTCGTCCTTCCTTTGTTTCTATTGTTCTGGGTTATCCAACCGTAGGTTATCTATCCCCTGTTCATGCACATATATACCTCTCTGCAGAAGTTTCTGCATTTCTAGCTCTGTTTTTGCTAGAATAAAAACTGATTTAAACTTTTAAATCCCAGCGAGGGAACATTAAAAAACTATTCTCTTAACATGCTCCATATATTTAGACTGGCTGAGACCAAGTCAGATCAGCATTAATTTTCAGTTTGATCTTGTGGACAATCTGCATTCAAAGACAGGCTTAGTGAACTTTGGACTCAACAGATATCTGATAAGTGTCTACTCTGTGCCCAGTACTATGCTATTGAGCTCTGAGCTTGCTCACAATGATGAATAAGACTAAAATTGTCTTTGCTTTCATAGAATCTTCTGTACAATTGAGGGGTTAGACATTCGTCACTCAGATAAGTAGATCTGGTTGGGCTTTAGTTTATAAATAAAAGTATAAAGTTGTATTATAGTGTCTGAAGAGTTAGTGTAAGTTGGAAGCCTCTCTGTGACCTCCTCCCAGGAGGCTGGGAGAGGAGGCTTCCCACTGGCCCACAGTGTGCTTCATTAAAATGTCACTGGAAGTTGCACCAACTCTTATGAACCTGCATTCGAACATGTTATAATGGAAAATACTGATTAGGAATTCCTATTTACGTGTAAGTGTCATTTGACGGAGTTTCCAAATCTTTATGAACCTTAGTTTTCTTTTTTCACATAAATGAGAAAAGGTAATAATACCCATCTGATTAAATGAGATAATGCATGGAAAATGATTGGCATGTTAGAGAGAGTTTAGTAAATGATAATTGCCTATATTTCTTTCTCATTCAAACTGAAAAACCAGAATCAAACATGGCTAACATGAATAAAAGCTGCAAAGGGCATCCTGTTGTGGATAAAGGATTCTGAGTTCTAAACCTGTCTGGTAAACAGAACAATTTTCATTCCTCTATTTAGAGTTTCCTCTCTCCCTCTAGGGTGGGCTAATCATCTTTCTCCATGTGACTCTTGTCTGCTTCTTTTTGGAGATTCCCTGTTTTTATTTTGCAGAACAGTGAAATGAGCCCAGAGATTCTGTTGTAAACACAATGCTCTCTTACATTGCACTTAAAGAACAGGAGTAAATACTAAGAATTTAGCATTGAGTACCACGTTTGGAGGATGGTTTTCAAGAAGGCTAAGGGGAAATTCATTCTTTTCGCCTTTTGCAGCAGAGATAACCCTGGATCCAGCAACTGCCAATGCCTATCTAGTCTTGTCTGAGGATCTGAAAAGTGTGAGATATGGAGGGATCAGACAGCAGTTACCTGACAACCCAGAAAGATTTGACCAGTCTGCGACGGTGCTGGGAGCTCAGTTCTTCACCCACGGAAGACACTATTGGGAGGTGGAAGTGGGCAACAAGACTGAGTGGGAGGTGGGCATCTGCAAGGACTCCGTGAACAGAAAGGGAAACCTGCCAAAGCCCCCTGGGGACCTCTTTTCACTTATAGGTTTAAAAATTGGAGAGGATTACAGTCTCTGGGTCTCATCACCTTTGAAAGGGCAACATGTCCAAGAGCCTGTGAATAAGGTCGGTGTTTTCTTAGACTATGAATCTGGACACATAGCATTCTACAATGTGACAGACGAGTCCCTCATCTACAGCTTCCCTCCAGCCTCTTTCCAAGAAGCCCTCAGGCCTATCTTCTCCCCTTGCCTCCCCAATGAAGGGACAAACACAGACCCTCTTATCATCTGCTCACTGAAGAGCCACATCTGAGGGACAGGTCCCTGTGCTTCCACTGAGGATGAGGTCTGGGACCACCAGATGACCAATCCCTAAGACGATTAATGCGTGAAAGTCTTCACATCAGGTCATCTGAAAGAAAATCCCACCCCCCCCAACCCCTCCACAAAGAGTTTCTATGAACCTGAGACCGCAATGAAGAACCAATTAGAAAATCAGCACCAGTCACTGAAAGTTAATCACATCCTGTGTCTTTAACCAAATTCATTATCTGGACTACCCCGTGTGCTGGTCTCTCAAAATACAGAGAGAACTAGCCCCTGTCACCCCGAATCAATTGTCATAGGCCAGTTTTTATAAATATATGTCGTTTTTTTTTTCTAGTGTATTTATTTATTTGACTCAAAACCCCTTGCAGTTTGAATGTGTCTCTCTCCTCTGTGCAGAGCCCTGCTAGTTGGGGTAATTCCAATCCCTCCAGGGACCTGGTGCCTGAGTGTTCCCTTCCAGGGTGGGTGACAGGGATCCAGGCCTCAGCCTCCTCTGAGGCTGGAGTATTTGTACCCAGGAAGGCTTATGTGTTCAGAATGCTGCTGAGATCTGTGTGAACACCATCAGATCCTTCAAGGTACCACAGGCTGGAACCTTCTGTTGTTTGTTTACATTAGAAGATGACAGAGCAAAGTCTCTATTCAATAAACGTATCATGGCAATGTATACCGAGTGACTTCACTGAGTTTTCTATAGTTGTTGTTTTCTGTGGTTTTGCTATTTGCTATGGGCAGAAGGCTTTCAAATCCTGGAAACACGGAGGCAAGTCCAACCTCCTGTCCTAGTGTCAGGGAAGGGGGGCGGTGTCCCAGCACAGGCTGGTTTCAAATCTCCTCCTGGTGGGGGTCTGAGTTCATACCCCCCCCTCCCCAGCTTCCCCATTCTTAGGGGTCTATCCCAGTAGGATTTTTTTTAATTGGAATTCTACCTTGCTTTCTTTGAAAAATGTCACCAATCACAAAAGGTGTCCCTTTATCTCCTCTTATCACTCATATAAGTCTGTGTCCTAACGGAGAACACTGCTGATAACGTTTAACCACCGCATGTGTGTAACTACTAAGATTTTTCAGGAAGAAAACTTATCACAGATTTTTCTTCTCTTTGGTTCTTTGTATTCTCCATTTGGGTTTTCATCCTGTTGTCACATACCATTAGATTCACAGAACTGGGGTTGGGGCACAATGGCACATCCCTGCGATATAACGATACCAGTGACTTGGAGGCTGAGGTGGGAGGATTGAAAGTTGGAAACCAACCTCAGCAACTTAAAATTAGAAATAGAAAAGACTGGAGCCGTAGCTCAGAGGTGGAATGCCCCTGGGACCAAACACAGCCTTTATAGATAATCTCTGGCTCTACTTCCCATTATCCCGTGCTATTTTTTTTTTCAATAAGATGCATTTTGTTTCATAATTACTTCTAAATCTAAGAAAAGAATCTTAAAAAGCAAACTCCAAATATTTAGTATGTATCTTACTTAATTTCAGAAAACATAGCAGTGTATTTTTTGCTTTTTGGTTATTTTTTTTTGTAAATGAATATATTTATTTATTGTGCATTACGTTTATATTTATTGTGCATTACGTTTAATTGTAGTGGCTCACAGTTCCTTTTCCTCCTTCTCCTTTTCCTCTTCTTTCTCCTTCTCTTTCTCCTCCTCCTCCTGCTTTTCCTCAAAGAGTTATTATCAAAGAAATCAGCCCATTTTCCTCTAGCAAAAGCATCCTGAGTGGGTCTTTCTTATACCATTGTCTACACTGGATCTGCCACAAGCTGAGTAGCTGGAGGAGATTGAATCTATACTCCTCGTACTTTTCTGAGTTTGCATGCGCAATCATGGAAAATGTGCAAGAAACATTTTGCTCTAGGCTTCCACGTAAAAACTCCAAACAAAGGAGGATGGAGGAGAGCAAGGCGAAATGGAAAACAGAGAGGCGTGCTTCTTTGCTTGCTAAAGTCGTCCCCTGACACCATTCAAAGCCTTGGTCTGCTGGCTAGTCCTTGGAAAATGAAAGGTGTCCCACCTGGCGCCTGACATTCCTCAAGCCACCTCCTCCTTATCTCCTCTTCCCCTGTCGACTTCTAGCCTTCTCCCTGTAATATTTGTTTTCCTTCTACTTCTTCACTCTATGGTTTATCCAAGTGACAGCAAATTACAATTGGCTGTTTCTTGGGTGGACGTTAACAAAAATGCAATACAGAATCATAGCCTTTTCTTTTCTACATCTCCAAAACTAGCTAGAAAAGAAGGAATATGTCTAGTCTTGAGGATTGGGGATATCAAGAATGTTCTCCATATTAAGATTACAGTTCAACTACTTAGTTTTCTGACTTTCTTTGTTCTAGAGCACTTTAGAAATAAATATAATACATCTCTTGTCCTGAAATCTCATTGAACTATAAAACATCATTTTTCTAATAAGAATTTTACTCTTTTGCTCAAATGATCTCCTCTCCGACCACCACAGTGACAGAACTTCAACCTTTTATGCTTAGAAAGTATTAGTTCCCGATTTGACTTTGGATTACTTTACAGGGCCCTCATGCACTAATTTAATTCAAGAATGTGCCCTCCATATTCTTGAATTTTTTTTTTGTGTGTGTGTATGTGCTAGTTTCTTGAAGGGATGGGAACTGAATAATAGGACACAGACAATTGCAAGAATGCTGAAAAATGCAACAGATGAAATAAAATCACATCCAGTCTTACTAATTGATACAACTATACTGATATTCAGATCTATATCATGTGTTTATAATTTTTGGCTTTTTATGTATGTATTTTAAACCAAATGAAAATTAATATTGCCTTAGTATTAATAGCAAACTTTCTTCATGTCATTAAGTATTTTCTGAAAATATGACATTTTTCTTCCCTAAATATAGAAGTACATATTTTTTTAAAGAAAAAGCACATTTTGTAATCTACATTTGTCATATCCAAATATTTAACAGTTAATAGATTATATAATGATATTATCTAGTTAACAGTCCATATTAAAGTTATCCCACTGGCCCTTATAATGATCTTCATGACTGTTTTTTAGTCTTCCAGAATTCAGGAATAATATAGGAGCAGGCATTGAATTTTATTGTCTGGGAAAACATGTTTGTTTTTTTAACATATTTTTTAGTTGTTGATGGACTTTTATTTTATTTATTTATATGTGGTGCTGAGAACTGAACCCAGTGCCTCACACATGCTAGGCAAGCGCTCTTCCACTGAGCTACAACTAATAGGAGTAATATTTCATATATGACGCTTCCAAATTTATTTAAACATTTCCCTACTGTGGAATATTTAGATTGTTTTCTATTTGTAGCTATTATAAATGACACTGGGATGAACACAAGTGTACACAGACCTTCGGGTGTAGGATGTATCTCTAATTATTCCCCAAGTATATCTCCAGCAGGCAGGAAAGAGCCTCACAGATCTAGGCGCCGTGTGCCTGTAGGTGGCACATCCTCCTACAACAGTTCTGCAAGCACTGCAGGTGGCCCTAAAGGTTTTACTCATTAAAAGGGCAGACACAGGAGCTTAGAGACAAGTGAAAGAACATGTTCTTCTCTGCCCTAAGGTCTTGCCAGAAGCACTGCATTTATACCAAAAAAACAACTATCCTCGGAGGAATTAGAGCAGTGCCGGGGTTTTGAAATCAGTCAGTTGTTGGTTTGAACGTCTAACTTCACCACAAAGCAGCTCTCCTAATTTTCATGCATCATTTCAATTCTCAGAACCTTAGCTGTCTCTTCTCAAAAGTGTAGAAAAATAGTGACTAGCTGTGATGATGATGCGAGTCCACACAAAATCAACACTTGAGGCAAGATAAATTTTTGTTCGTTTTCTCTTCCCCCCTTAAAGATTCAATTTTGTAATTCTTCAGAAAGGGGATAAAAAAGCCATAGGATGCTTATATAGGATATGACGCCAAAATCTATGAAATATTCTCAAGGTAGGTGTTACTATTTTAGCCAGAAAAGTTTAACACAAAATTCAGTTGGAGAAAAAGAAAACCTCTCTGGATTATTTTCTCATCTTTCATGCAAGTTCTTTTGACTTTGATGCTTGTAAGCATCCCATTTACCTAACTTTAAAAATCCACTAATATAATAAATAGTACATAAATAAAATTTGTACATTTTTTGGGGGGTGGCGTGGGGGATACTAGGGATTAAACCCAGAGGAACTTTACCACTTAGCTATTACCCCAGGCCTTTTTATTTTTTTGAGACAGTACTAAGTTGCTGGTCTCAAACTTGCAATCTTACCATCTCACCCTCCTGAATCACTGGTATTTGACAGGCATGAACCACCACATCTGGCATAAAATTGAACATTCCCAGTCTTATGAATCTTACACTTTTGCTTTGGGCTTCTGGAACAAGGCATGAACTTTGCTAATCTTTGGTTCTGCAAGTGCTTGAGATACTGTAAACAAATGAATAGGTTGATGCAGTCTTTTATAACCACTGTGCTTCATTCAAAGGTGAGCTAGTAGATTAGAGGTATTTTGAGATAATGATCCCATCAAACCTGTTGGGGTGGTCACTACCTGTAACACTCTCACCTGCCTCTCCTTCAAAGAGAGATATAGAGAGTTACTATTGCCTGGGATGTTCTTTCACAGCTTTCTTATTGACAGCTAGCTCACAGGATGAAACAAGGTTTTGTGAGACCTGAAGCTTATACACGCAGAAGAGTCCTCTTTAAAAAAAAAAAATAATAAAATATTACAAATGATAAAATCAGGTCCAGGATCTTAGAGGGTCTTAAACAAATGAGGGGCCTGAGATCCAAGTTTCATTAGCTTGCCAGTATATCTGTGTCAGGGATAGCCAGATGCAAGGATGAAATGCAAAGGGAATCAAGCCACATCTCCTAGGTTCAAATCCCAGCTCCACTACTTACTAACCACACCACCTTGGGCAAGTTAACTCCCTGTGCCTCAGTTTCCTCATTAGTAAAAAAGGTTTGTAAATAATATGTGCCTTTTAGCATCATGGTATGTGTCAAAGGACACAACTCTTGCACTTAGAATACCACCTAGTTGAAGGTATAATTACTCCATAGACATTAGCTATTCACATATCTTTGCTGAGCTTCGACATTTCCACTAGCCAGAGTCTGCAGTTTTGGATCCTGCCTTCTTTTTCTACATCTCACAGTGCTAACCAAGAACTTGGATCTGAGTTCTATGACTTGCCCCTTCCCTCCTGGTCCTGGGTCCACCCTTTATGGAAACTCTCGTTTTACATTGGCTTGAAAGCATATTGCCCGATGTCTAGTTCTTTTGAGTTCCTAATACTAATTCTCACTCTTCTGTATTAGGAAGTTTTCCTAAAGATGCTCAGGTGTTTTAGTTATTGTCATTTATTTGACTTTTTAACCTCTTCTTTCCAGTTAGAGTAGTATAAGTCACAACATTTGGAAGTGGTATTTTCTTTCCATTGTTTTCTTTTTTTCTTTTGCGAGGGTGGGGGACTGAACTGAGGGGCACTTGACCACTGAGGCACATCCCCAACCCTATTTTGTATTTGATTTAGAGACAGAATTTTTGAAACCTGATTTAGAGACAGGATTTATGTGGTTGTTTAGCACCTCGCTGTTGCTGAGGCTGACTTTGAACTTGAGATTCTCCAGTCTCAGCCTCCTGAGCCACTGG